ACTGCACGAGGGCGTGTGACAAACACCAAACAGGAAGCAGAGGAAGAGAGAGGTACCTACCCCAGTAAAAATGAAATATCTTTCTTAAAAACAATTAAAAAGCTTTTTTTCTCCTGTCAAAAGCTGTTAAATATCATCAACAACAAAAACATATTCCACACAGATTCATTGTGGCTGAAAAAACCATGTTTTTAAATGTCAGCCAGCTCCAGTTTTAACCTTATTGTTTCTCTCTCCTGAAGTTCCCAACCCCATCCCCTGCTGGGAACTGAGTCATGCTCTGCGCTGAGCTCTCCTGCACTCACAGCTCTGCTCCAGTCGCTTTTTCTGGCCATGCTGTTCCACGCTCTGCAGTTCACTAACCCACCTCCGAAATGTAGGGTGTCAGCTGAGACACAGAACATTTCAAAGCTGACTCCCCTGCTCGGTAGCAAATCAATTATTATAATGGCCTCGTTATTGACAGGTGTGTGGGCCGTCTTTCTCATGGGTATGAGGATGACACAAATCCAGTATTAAGCATTCTGCTCATCACCATCTCCCCTCCCCGTGCGCTCCGCCTGCAGCCCCACTCGGGAACAGGCTGTTTCCTACGGCCTCTTAGGAACAACCAGAGACGTTTCTGTCCCGACTCTTCCTTCCTTTTGGCTTAAGCCCCTTTTAGGCATCTCCATAGTTACCTCCTGATCAGTCTGCAGTCGGAGCTGCCTGTGCACAACCATCTCAGGAGCAGCTTTTGCTATTGGGAATAACCTTCCTCCATCCACATCCTCCATCCACCTCCATCTGCAAGGATACAGCTCCTCCCTTGCCCCTTCTTCCCTTTCTCCTGTCCACAGCGGCTCTGTGCTTGAATGCTTTAATTCACCCACAGGCCATGTGTCCACTCCTCCGCTTCATCCAATTTATACCATCTACTCTTTGATAGTCTGTGATAGTTTTCAGTTCTGTGTTAGAGCAGCTCTGCAAAATTATTTTTGTCCTGGGTGGTACTTTCCTTGCCTAAATCTGAGTGTTGGTTCTGTCCTGGAAACCTACAGCCTGGAGTATGAAATGAGAAGTGCATTTCAAGGCCTTTGCAGGACCCTGCTTGTTCATATGGAGTCAAAGGCCACCAGGTAATAAATGAAATGAACTGAACAGGCTAAGAAGCTGTAGTCCTCAAAAGCATATTTGCTGCAGACCTGAACCCAGCGCTCGATTACTGAAGTTTTATATTCACAGATGACAGTTTCAGTTTAGCCCCTGTGAAATGCACCACTAAAACCATGCTAATCCCCCTGAGATTAACAGCCATTTCAGTATCTTGGCTCATTTAGCAAATCTAACCATTAAGTGATACATGCACTTTAAACAGGGTATTTTCAGAGCATCTGAGCACTTAAATTTCTCCCTGCTCTGTTGTGCAGCTGTGAGGAGGCATAACTCATTGGGTAAGAGGCCCCTTTTTGGATGCTTGTTTTCCCCAAACTGAGCAGATCTAGAGCGATGCAGTCGGCTGAGTTTTAGCCCGAAGGGGGCTGCTCTAGAGACTGACTTGCTTTGGGCTGCTGCTGCTATTTCCAAACACTTCAGCTGCTGCTGTGCTTCCACGTGCCTGCCGAGGCTGTGCAAAAGTGCTTTAAATAAGCTTTGAGGACGCAGCGTCTTCATCTGCATGGACAACACAAGAAACTCACTTGATGAGCATCACTGGACCTGGGCGATTAAGGACCAACAAAGGCTCCCATGAAACTTTGAAAAACACCCCTCTAGAAATATTGTCACTCTTTATTTTTTGTTTTTAATATAATATTTTTCACTGTTTACTTCCCTGTGAGCCTTGGAAGAGCCATCTGCACTCCTGGGGTCGTTGCTGCCCTGAGCTCCAAGGCCGTATCTGTTCTTTTCCCTCAGGATTATCTGGTGATCTTTGAGCTGTGCAATCCTGCACTGCCCTGCTCTGGTGGTACGATCGCTGTGGCTTTGGG